AGGTTCCCCTCGAATGGAATGACGTGAACACGGCAAAAGCGAAAAGGTCCACTTCTTCGCCGTCAGTCCTCCCAACGGGAGTTCTATCAAATGGCATGCCAGAGTTTCGCAACCGCGGAAGCGTCTGTGAGTCTCTGGATCTCGATCTTCACTGTCCATCCCACGAGTCCCAGTGTACAGGTTCAGGAGGGGGACCGGAATCGCCGAACTACTAGAATCAGACGAGATGCCCAATCGCGCTCCATCTAGAGTAACTGAAGATAGGAGACATTTCAAGCCAAAAGTAACGATCAACTATAATGCGCAATTATGACGGACTACCAAGGGCGACTTACCCCTGATATTCAATATTAGACCCAAATGTTGTTGAGTCAAACACGTGGTCGCATCTGGGACACAAGAACTTTGTCGACTGGCTGCAAAGACGTTCCACAAAGACAAACATATCGAGTGAGACACCGGGTACTACTGATGTTGACCAATTCTGTGGAGTGATAGGCATATTTGTTTGTGGGTGCATGACCACAAACCGTCGTTGCTCGACAAGGAACCGGCCAGGCTTGCTGGAGATCATCACGACGAGCAGTCGTCACAGACCCTGAGTGTGTCAGTGAAACTGCCCCTTCTACCCCCGTCGGTGATCGTGTTGCTAAGAAATGAAGGCAATCATGGGAACATGGATGGCACCATACCCAAATGACATTGAACTAAGGCTGATTAGGACTGAACCCCCCAAAACGGACTGGCTTATGAAGAGGCCTACAGCCGGCAACAATTATACGCCGTTTCAGCGTCTGCACATAAGCTCGTTTCTTGCAAGCAAGAAGAATGAACTTCGCGAGACCTGGCAGAAGAATACCATGCCCTGATTGAGGGTGCGTTCTTAGCCAATCATTAGACAACACGGAGTGAGGCTTACTGAGGGCCAGAGCCTGGACTCCTTTGCCAGTTATCCGCGTTTTGGTGGCGGGGTTTCGCCAGGTGACTTCTGCCTTGGTAGGGGGCCTAATGTTAGCACGAATGTGGCTTTTCAACCCTGTAAATGGACCTATAGGAGACTAGTGGCGAAGTCGTGGGCGCTTATGAGATGGCCATGCAGAGACGTTACAGAGCCTCGTCAAACTCCGAATCTCGTCACTTTGACAATGACCATTGTAGTCCTCTTGAAGTCGTGGATTAAAGCGGCCAAGCGATTGAACTTGGACTCCATAATCATTGTGCTGCCAAAATGGTGCGAACAGAGACTCTTCTCAGCGAGTACATCAATTTTAGCGACCAGAATGCTGGCTTGAGCGATGCAGAACTCACCAAAAAAGAGCTCATGTTCTACGGCGCTGCAGCAGTCAGCCATCTCTGCAATGAGCAAGAACAAGGAATCAACATTGATGAGAATCTTCGTCAAAGTGATCGATTCCGATTCATCCGAGAATTGGACATTATCTCGTCAATCTACTCAATCGCCCCGATAAGCAAGAAAGCGGGGATCAAGTCAACGCCGCCCGTTATTGCTTGGTCCGATCGCCTTCAGACGGTCTTTCTCGGCTTCTGTTGCACCCGCAGCATGAACGATGTCCGTTCTGATTTGGACGTGCGCTTGGCAGCGTCTGATGATATTGGGTCGCGATTCCATAAGGGCTTCTGTGACAGAAGTGAGGAGTTTGTGCCGCTCGTTGAATGGCTTATGAAGAGGCACAAGTTGGTTGTTTGCGGCCATAGCTTTGGGTACGTTTATCTTACTGCTTCCATTAAGTCATGCTAACCTCGAATTTTAGAGGCGCTCTGGCGACTATCTCGTCTTACCTGGCCATGGTCGGCCACGGTCCCGTTCCTAACGCCTGGATGCAGAGACAGGGCGGCATATCCATCATCACATTTGGAGCACCGTCGTGTATGGTCGCTGAACCACTAGGAACAACAGTCTCCTTTCAAGTGAACCTGAGTGGCAATTTCCACCACGTTGTCAATCCTCATGACTACGTTCCCTTCGCACTCAACGATAGCGCGAGGAAATTCAAGCAGACCTTTGATGCTCTCAGAACACCGCTGGGAAACCTATCGCCTACGATTCAAATGTTATGGCCTATTCTTGAGTATCTCTTAGACCTCTTGTTGCAGCACACGGGCAAATTCTGTCACTTTGGCTGCATGTATTCTATCACGGCTGAGGAATCAGGGATCCAGAATTGTGTCCAAACTCTACGAGTCAATGATATTCCTCAGATCCCGAGCGCAGGCCAGGTTGACCGGTACCACAAGATGTCACACTACTTCCATTGTGTCAAGAACTCTGTTGGTGCCAGAATTTTACAGCAGACCTCATTAGAACTGCATCGTTCGGTCTCCGATGTCTCATCAATGATACTTCCGATGCCTGGAACGGTTACCAGTTGCTCCTGCGTGGTTCACAGCGATCATTTGGTTGTATCACTCGATGTCGATACGCCTTTGATGCAATATTTATTGAAAGGAGCAACCTTCAGGAGCAATACCCGAGAAGTTCCTCTTACGATTCTTGGGTTTCCTGCGAAGTCTGACCACTACCAAGTAAGCAGTGACTTCTGTGAGCCGTTCGGCCTTTCAGCTGACCTATTCGCCTAGACATCTGTTAAACTTGAATATCGAATTAAGGACGATGACCCCTTTGAAGACATTGGAAAGGCTTCAATCGCCATCCAGGAAGGCATCACTCTTCATGATATCTTTGGGCGATCCACAGACCTCAATGTTGATACCCTAAGATCGATGAGCCTTGACAGAGCTAGTTTACCAGCGACATTTGAGAGCATCAGATTAGCAATGATACGTGCGCTTGTTGCCCAAATGTCAAAGGTCCAAGCCCTCAGAACTAATAACACCTCCCGCGACGCTCATTCTCCAGAAGAGGTCATGAGAATTGTCGACGACATCAAACCGGTTGTGGGATGCATCGATGGTCTGGTCAGCGATGCAAGTCCCCATCTTGTCTTTAGTCGCCTTGGGCATGCATTTACCATCCTGAAAGCGCTTTGGCCGAAAGACTTTGAGATTGGATCCGAATTCCATGCTTCCGTGCCTGGCGCGTATGGAGATGGAGACTCTGACGTTAGCCTTCTTCTTGATATACCTGCCGATTGCCCTGGAGCCCTTAGAAGGCTTATTACAGATATGGTCATCAGCCAAAACGCCCCAAGCATTACCCGAGCTGAACTACTTGTCCAAACCTGGGAAGCCGCCAAGAGACCGACATTGTCAAAGCAATTTAAGAGTGTGCCAACATTCTTCGGAGCTCTCAAGACATTCAGCCATGATCTATACCATCGCTCAACAGACCCTGCAAGGCGCACAGAGCAAGCAGTCTCCCAGTTCCAAGACGTCATGGGTGTCATCCAGTTCTGTCATCTTGTCATCATCACGCAACTTGACGCACCGTATGAATGGTACTGCAAGTCTACTGAGGGCCATCGAATCACCTCTGCTGCTCTGGGTGCTTTGCCGTCCTATTTTTCTGGGGCCTCATTATTTTCCAGAGTCCTAGCTCTGGGCGTAGGAGCGACTTCCGCTGCTGGACTAGGCGTCAGTGGCGGCATTGCCGTGTTGTTTGCTAGCACCAAGTTTATCGGCCATCTTCTGAACAGGCACAAAACATATCTCGATCTGTCTTTTCCTGGTGTCCTAGCCATCACCTTGCTGGCGCTTGGCCTACCCATCGCCGAGTCCGATGATATAGTGGAGAAGACCCTCCTCGATCGTGTGAAGCAGGATATTGCAAGCTCTCATACGCAGGAAACGATAGATAAATGGAGAGGCAAACTCGAAGAGGGCTTGAAAGACTATCCTGGGGCCAAGGCCAATCAGTGGTGTATTACACCTACCTTCTTCTGGCCCAAGTGGCTCTTCAGTGTCGCCAAAGTAGCTCAACTCCGAATTCAGCTCTCGGACAAAATCTGCATCGGAGTGCAGGGCTCCACAGAAGCTGGTAAGAGCCAGATGCTCACTGTTCTGACCGGTGCATCAGAGGACTACTTCAAGCCTGGCTCCAGCAGTCTTTGCAGAACTTTGGGCATTCAATCTTACGACTCCAGTAATCTTGGAGCCATTTTTCTCGATAGTCCCGGTTTTGACGATCAAAAGCCAGAGATTAAGTACATGGCCGACGTATTCCAAGAGCTTTTTGCCATTGTAATCATTGTGATCCCAATGGAACGCACACGATCTGAGGCAACTGAAAGCGCCTTGCACATAGCTATTAAGCTGCTCCGTGACCAAGAAGATAAGCGCCCACTACGGATTCTGCTAAGCCAGGCCGATGGGTTGGATCACCATCGCAATAACAAGCAGAAGTTTAGGGACACATTACGTGATGTTAAGGAGCAGTTCATGTCCAGATTCAGACAAGAGCTAGGCGAGAACTTTACTACCTTCAGACAGCAGCCGTTTCACGATGGAATCGTCTGCAAATCTGAGAAGCTGGAGGATATGGTCAAGCCGTTTTCGACACATGCACAGATGACTTTAGATGGCATTAGTGCTTTGGCAGATTGTCCCCCCGGAACGCCATGTAAGATCGAAAGGGAGAGCCACTTCGAGAATTTGTGCGAGTTGGCTGATGCGGGAGAGATATGGGACATTGAGTCGCTGCGCTCCTGGCTTCGGGATCTTTCACCCAACAGCGTGCCGATGTCGAGTGGCCGTGTGCGGATATACTGTGATTAGTTTTTGCATTGCGATGTTTTCTCATCTGAGTATCTCTGATGGCTTCTTTATATACACGACTTATTTTCTTTGCATCATCTTTATTCCGCCTAAACCTACCTGCAGGGGCCCCTGTTACGTGTTGGTTGCAACATCACATCCTGTATACATATCCACCTTCCATATTGGCTGAATACAAGAGGCGAACTTGGCTGACATCACATCATCTGATGAGCCCCGCGGTGTTGACTTCTAAATGCCGCAGTCAGAACCAGATCATTAGTCCTGGTACTTGGACTGTTCATCCTTAGTCATTAAATTTGATCGTCATGTCTGATACACAAGCCAGTAACAAGACAATTGATGAGCCTGTGCCGACCACAGACGTTGCATCCCAGGACGAAGCTCCGACAGGGCTTCTTCCCGGTCAGCATTGGACGCAGACCGTAGGTCTCCAACGTATTACACTTCGCACGTCATGACATTGATTAGTGGTTTAGGAACCGGATCAGGACGATGACGACAATGATTCAACACTATCGGACAATGCCAGCTCCACAGCTTCGCTTTCGTCCGACATCCTGCGCTACCGTGAGATTAATGGTAGAAGATATCATAGCGAACAGGGCGATGCTCAGTACTGGTCAGTCGTCATCTCGGCAGTTATGGGCCACGGCCATCAAGTTTGGGACGTTGAATTTAACCTTTTGTCCAGGATTTCTAATGATAACCAAGCCAATGAGGCACTGGACATCAAGTAAGGAGGCAGTCTATCACGTCAGTCGCTTTGCTTAAACATTCCAGTCACCATGTTCTGATTCTCATGTACAACGACAAGCTCTTCAAGGCGCCGTTGAACGACAACGTACAGGTACTCTTCAATTCGCATAGTGTAGTATGAGCGATTCGCTGATTCATCTACTTGGGTAAAGAATGTAATAGATATTGGAACAGGCACAGGTAAGAGCCGCGTCATTGTCTCCCCTATCAATATCGACGGCTAATTGTCCATGCTTGTGTAGGAATTTGGGCGATGTAAGACACTCACAAACAGTCCCTAGAACCACTAATTTACACTGACAGGGACTTTGCCGACGAGTTCCCCAATGCAAAGGTGATAGGAACCGACATTTCCCCAATCCAGCCAGGTTGGCTACCACCAAACCTCGAGTTGTTAGTAGAGCATCGACCACTGACGCCGTTAGACTGACATACTGACACTTTAGTCAAATCGATGATTGTATGCAGGAATGGACTTTCAAGGAGAATTCACTTGACTATGTACATATGAGATTCCTAGTCGGCAGCATTATCGACTGGCCCGGACTGTTCAAGCAAGCATATAAGTGCCTGAAGCCAGGGGGCTATATCGAAAGCCACGAGGCCTCGCCTTGCATTGGAAGTGACGATAACTCGGTGTCTGAAGACAGTGCTATGGGCCAGTGGGGAAAGATCTTTATGGAAGGAGGTCGAAAGCTTCAACGGCCATTCTCTGTTCTTGAAGATAATGTACAAGTTGAGAGCATGAATGAAGCAGGATTCATTAACATTGAGGAAGAAGAGATCAAGGTGCGTATGGCGTCATACTAATCATCTAACTCATTGATTCTGACCGAGGCCAGGTGCCCATTGGCGGATGGCCTGAAGATCCCAGGCTCAAAGAGGCTGGTCAGTATTTCCAGGCTGCAATCCTACAAGATGTCGAAGGCACTCTCACGTTCATCGCGAACCTTTTGGGGTGGAGCAAAGAAGAGATCCACGTCTTTGCCGCCAGATACCGGCGTGAGATCCGGTCAAAGAAGGTCCACGGGTACTTTCGCGGCAAGGTGGTCTGGGCACAAAAGCCACTCGTCAACTGATAGTCTAGCTGTAATTTAGTCTGCAATGCATGTAGCAAAATAGATGTTATTTCTATTTCTGATGATAGACCCACTATTCCCGGAGCTACTCATCGCCAGTAGCAAACTCTCCCTTTGCAATCTTGTCGCTAAGCGCCTTATTAGGAGTAAAGTAAGATGAGAAGTCTTCCCGTGCTTCCAGTAACAGGTCTACTACCATTCTTCCAAAGACAATTTCTCCAGCTGGGTTCAAATGCGTCCTGTCGCCTTCTCCCCAGTTATAACGTTGCGCGTTCTCATTACCAATGGCGTTGACGTAGTCAGTGCTAGCTTTGTTTAGTTCGAGATACTGGGCCCCGACGTCTCCAGCAGCTGCAATGGTCTCAGCAGCCCATTCCTTGAGGTTCTGGACAACCTCGCCGTTTTGGAACGTACGGCGCGTGAGGGAAGTGATAAAGATCTGATGCTCTTATTAGTCCAAGCCAAACACTTGCAGATTAGATCGAAGACCTACTGGTGTTCCGCCAGCCGCTTTGATCTGGTTGCCAATTTCGACCAGATTGGCATGGAACTCATCCAGCTGCATGACCTTCTGATCATTGTGGCCAAATTGAATGGTCACGACAGGCTCGAAGTCGGCCTTCGCCGTACCAACGTCTTTGATGAGAGTGTCCCAACGACCATTGGACTTCCATGATACAGTAGTTGAGCCACTGACACCTCGATTATCGCCTCTAGCTGGGGCTTTGAGATATGATAAGAAGCCATTACCCCAGCCACCGTCCACGGCGACGGTCGAGTCACCAATGAGGAAGAATTGTGGTGGTTTGGCCGCTCGGGCAACAGGGCTTGACTGGACAGAGCCAATGATGGTGCATACCAGACCCGCAAAAGAGAATCTCATTTTGACGGTTTCTTGCTAGGCTTGAAGTAAGTTAATAGTGATGGCAGCCGGACAAAAGGATTTCATGAACTCTCAAGTGAAGCAGAAGTACTATACTCGTAGATGGGTTAAGATCACCTGAATATCTATTTCCATCATTCGGTCAGGTACTGGCAGTTTATATCGTGCACAGTACATCGTAGACCAGGGTTATGGTAGTCCATCTTGGCGGGGTCCGCTGGTCTCGGTGCAATGATACCACGAAGTCGCATATAAACGCTATGCACATCGATGTCGCCATTCCTTGTCGATGCATCGGAGCGAGATATGCCGCAGACATATTTGGAAAGATCGACATTAACTTCCTTCTAAGTAGTGGAAGAGATATTTCCAGCGGGGATCCTAGCTGTAGATCATGGACTGTTCCGATATTATGGCGGCATGCGCTACCCCTACTAGGGGCGAAAAGAAAACTTATGAGATTGACCCTAAGCTCAGAGGACTTTTTGCTGGGTTTACTTAACAACCTGTCAAGGCCCGATGTTTTCTTGCTCCCTGAGGCCCTGCTGCAGCGGCCCCACGAACTAATATGGCAACTGAACGTTACTAGAACGTTTACGAAACTCCATAAACAAGTATGTGCATTTCACTTAGAATACAAAGTCTCTCCTGTCATTACTCGTTCAAGCCCAAAGTACATCCGTAATCTCCTCAAACAAATTCGCCGCCCAAATTGCATCATAGTCAAAATGGGGCCGAGATGATACACTGTTCGCCTCCCTCTGTACGATTTGAGTGCTAAGTGCGGTCACATCATCCGATATCTCAATATGCTCCGCTTGTCCTTCATCATCCGACAGTTTCTCGTCCAGCTCAATGACCCTCGGCAGACCAGCAACACTTTCAGATGCTCGACGCTTCCGAGGCGTGTACAGAGTTGTCGCAGACAAATTGTGTATCGGTCCGTAGGCCAACCTCTTCATCCCCGCGTCGTGGAGAATAGATGTCGGTAGGTCCAGTTCTGTTGGCGGTCTGCCGGTGATCAAGGCATAGTCGAGAGAAAGTCGAAGGCGCATGTATTGGCGTGTGATAAACAGCTCGTCCCAGTACTTCGTAAGACTCTTGGCAGGCTGTGATAATGCGCCCTCTCCTCCTGATGACTGCCGACGCCCTGGTGGTTTCGAGTGCGGGCGCAGTGGAAGCTGAATGGGCGTTGATTGAACGATTTGTGTGATCATTCTACTGATATCTTCGGCGCCTTCAAACCGTTTACTACACAAGTGCATAGCTTGTGCGTGATATCTCGTCAACAGTTGATCTTCGTCACTTTCGAGGTCCTTGGGTGCTATTCTCTCATCAATTGAGCTCAGCATAAGCGGATATGCAATATAAGCAATGCTAAACAAGGTTAGTTATAGCAAGTCCATTGAGAGCTGTTCACTTACGCAGATATAGGAAGGTGTTGAGTTAAACCTTCTTGAACGATAAAACCCACTAGTTTCGTTGTTTCTGTGGTCGCATAACTTATGTCCTTGCCAATATTCCGGAGTACAGTGTCGTCAATGATGTTCACTCCTTTCTGTCGCTGCTCGATCATCATAGCCTCATGATTTCCCAGAGCAATTTGAGCAGCGCTACATTTATCGTCAGTTGGGAGACCAAGGTGCATAAGCTGTTCCACTCACTAAGCATATATGAATACAACGCTTGATATAAGCGTCGTCGATCGGTGAGCCCCGGTGCCACTGAGAAATGGATGGAGAGCTTTGTCTGCTTCTTTCTTCCAACGGGTGAGGTTGCTTTTGGCAGTCCTGATTTGAGACAGGGTCTTTTCAAAATTATTTAATGAGTATGTGATATCGAACGCGTTCGGACCATAGCAAATCGAAAGAGTGTCTGTCAGAATAACTGCCAGACGACATTGGAAGTTTATGATGTTTGCGAGCTGACGCTTCGTCCTAGCGTTATACACAGCAGAACTCTCTGCTTCATCGGCAAGATCTTCGGGGATGATCGGATCTAAAGTGACATTAAAGCTTGAAGGTGTTATCTGTAGAGGCTTTCGAAGACCGAGGGTCAAAACTCTGTCTCTCCAGAATAGAGACCACCAAAGTCTCTTGTTGCTCTTTTTGCGCGATATACTTGAACCGGGAGCTTGGAAATTGTGAGCTTGGGCAACGATGGCATTTTGAATAGCGATAGCAAGCCAGGTGCTTCCTGCGTGCGGCTCTAGAGCTGAGAACTGGAACGTCAAGAGTAAGGCTGCCTGGGATTTGGTGAATGCATCACTCTCGACCCCAAGGTCAAACAATAGCTTGGGAAGGTCAGTGGCTATACGCGACTTTGGTGAGTTCACATACCTTAGCCCTTCTATAGAAGATATTCCGTGCCACCTTCACGTTTGTGTATCCGGCATTCTTGAGTACTACGGGCGATACGAACTGTGTCTTGTCAGCTCTGTATTAAGAAGGTCGGAGGGCCCTTACCGCTGATGCTGCGAAAAGCATCGCTTGGAAAACGAGTAGGGACATGGGTTTCACTTTTTCGTCGCCACTCTCTTCCCCCAAGTACATATCCCAGAATTCTTTCTCGTCTACCAACGGATAGTAGGGATGTAGGTACAGGAAGTACTGGTTGATGAATTCTTCTTGAACGGTTCGTACAGGCAGGTGAAAGCACCGATTGAGATCGAGGAAGTCAACATCTTGTTCAGGAAGGACTCGAAGATCCGGCAATACTAGAAATGGCTGTGTTGTGTATAGGACTTCGGACTGAGAATATGCCGCTGATGGCCTGGGATTCGACATGACTGATCGGGTCCAATTTGCGAAATGATGTGTTCTATGATCGAATAATGAAGTGCTCTGTATATCTTGAGAGAGCCAAGGTCCTTGGCGTACTTTTTCGTCTTGGTTTGCAGGGTTGGAGTGATAGATAGTCCGCTCATCCGTAGGACCGTAACCATCCTCAACATGAGCTGAGCGTTATCGGAGTCCGGGAACCAAACTTCCGTCCCCACTTTCAGCTGCCGAGGCGACTCCACTCGCTGATACGGCGTCCAGCAAATGATGCCTTTCTGCCTGAGGCCTGTCACCTAACCTAAAAAGGTAAACAGCTTAAGCTCGTTAAGCTTTGCTGTCCAACCTCAACCCATCTAGCGCCATCTGCTCAACGAAATCTGTCACGTTACAAGCATTCTATTCCCTTCGCCAATTGATCATTTGTTAACTTATATTTTCATTTCGTATGTGCCTGAACTCTTCTTACGACTAAAATGATGAGAACTAGATCAAGTTACTATTATGATCATTACGAGAGCCTCTCCTATGATGATGGCATTCCCTATCAAGATCCCGACTTTCCCGATGTCAACCATGAAGCACAGCGCGAGCTGATGGCCCATAGCGAAGGACGCTTCGAGGGCTACCCTGCTAAGAGACCATTCCATGTGGCCCATTGTCAACCAGGAAGACTTTTAGGGGCCCAAACTTATGCTCTTGTTGCTAAATGCAAGGGGAAGACTTATTCCTCCTGCCTTTGCTGCAGTTGATTACGAGGGGCTGTGGTTTGGCAAAGCGACCAAAGGCCTCCATCCTGAATTCCTTCATCACTATACCGTGATCATGCATGGTGCTACCAACGCCGAAGAATACGGAAAGCTTATTCACTGGGATTCTCACTCAGATGCCGAAGAATGGGTTAGAACCGAAGGCAGTTTCTCCCTGGAGATGCCCTCTTAGTTCTCGAATGTCAAGAACGTCTCATGAAATTTCTCGTCGATTGCTGCCACCAAATTCTTCACGAGATTCCCCCAGATGTCATGATCAACGACGGACACCCCATCCAACCTGAACCAATATTGAAGACGGACAGCGACGCGTCTAGGTTTGTTTCCCTGGCTGTAATCACTGCCGAGGCTCCCTATAAGCGACCGGCAAGCCTCGATCTTTTGCATCTACTTAAGGTCCTCGAGGCTAGGATGGAACCCTGACCTCTTCCTGCAGCAGCACAGCATGTTTCTGAATCACAAAGCTAGCCTTCGGGAACAGATAGACTATTTCTGGACGAACCTGCGCAAGAACCAAAGAATTTCAAACCAGAAGTCAAGTCAAAGACCAAGGTTAAGACCAAGCGTGACCCGACAGAGCCTGCCACCGCGGAGCAGGCGACCCCGCCGGCTGATGAAGCAGAACCAGCGGCTGAAGCCACGCAACCCACATTTGCTGTTGATGTCAAAGCACTCAAGGTGTTCCGTACTCTGTTCTTCGATCCTGAGGTAACATCGACTCCTGGCTTGATCCCGTGGAACGACTTCCTCTATGCCATGGCGGCGACTGGCTTTAAGATTGAAAAGCTGTATGGCTCGGTCTGGCAGTTTACTCCGACTAAGCTGGACGTTGAGCGCGGCATTCATTTCCATGAACCGCACCACATGGGTAAAACCCCTTTTGAGACGGCTAGACGACATGGACGACGTTTGACGAGGGCATATGGATGGCATGGGGGTATGTTTGTACTGAAGGAAAAGTCGTAGAGGTTTGAAATGTTAGGGTAGATCTTGATTGGATTTCTGTAGGTATCTAGATTCCCGTATTCTCACATACCGGCTTTGTATCTTGTCTTGTCTCGTTTCTATATACAGTGGTTGAGAATGCAGGATGTCTGCCATGCCACTTTTCGTCAGCATTAAGTTGAGTCTGTGAATTGCAGTCATGTTCAAAGTCGGGAGAAGCAAACCAGAATAATTGCTAAAGCATTGGAACAGAAGGTTTTAGACTGAATTCTATATAGTAAAACGAAGGGTCAGCTACTTCTATCGACCGCAAATAACCTATTATGAAACACTTACCCTGAGAACGAGTCAAATTGAAGTCCGAATGATGAAGAAAAGTACTCACCCTAGAGCTCCTGTCTATACCTGTGGAGCAGAACCAGAGCTGCTATCCAGTTAAAACAGTTCGGCTCTGTGAGCAACAATCTCTTTAAGGTTAGACTCGGCAGAAGCACGAGGCCTATTAATAGCAGTGAGAAACTCGGGGCTTTGATTGGTGCAACAAGACACGGAGATCTCCGCTACTCGCGATGAACTTTTTACCAGATGATTCACGGCCTGAAAATTATCAACATGAGCGAGTATACCTTGCGACTCTGACCACACATAATGAAAACGGGAACTCATATTACGAGATGGAGCAAGCAAAATGTTTATATATGATGAAAGAGACGGCTGATGGGCACGGCCTCTTTGCCAAAGAGCTCATCAAGGCTGGGACACGCATCATTCACGAGAAGCCGATTCTGACTGTCTCGCAAAATGAGACAAAGACGAAAGCCGAGTACAGATGTGTCATTGACCAAGTTGCGAATTTGAGCGACCCAGAGAAACAGCGATTGATGAATCTTTATCACAACGACAAAAAGCTGCGCGAATTTTCATTCCTCCAAGGTCAACCTTGTCCTGGGACAGACCTCGATGCTGGCATTGTCTTGGCCAAGTTCTATACAAATGCTGCGAGCATCACATCTGGAGGTCTCGAATGCGGGCTGTTCACCATTTTCTGCCGAATGAATCACTCGTGTACACCAAACATATGCTGGGTATATGATGAGCCAACGGGGTTCATGGAAGTATATGCAGTGAGGGATATTGACAAAGATGAGGAGATCACCAACTCATATATCGAAGTCGCAATCTCCCACCAGGCCAGGATGAAAGAGCTGTCGAATTGGGGCTTCACATGTCAATGCACTGCCTGTGAAGGACCAGATGCTGCGAAGCACGATGAGCGAAGGCGCAGGATTGCACAGATCAAGGGGATTCTTGACATTTATCAGGATGCAGGAAAATCGGGCGACGCACCGAAGTTCGCTGAGACTCCAAAGACAGACCTGGAGGCATTGAGGCTCGGCGAAGAAAGCCTCACCTTATTATCGGATGAAGGGCTCATCGAGCAACTGGGGGTCATGTATGGGCTGTGCGCCAAGTTTGCCAAAGCCGCTGGGCTACATGACTCTGCAGAGGACTATGAGGAGATGGAGTTTGAGATATTGGTGATAACGACCGGGGAGTATATCGATTGAGCCGGAAAGCGTTCTGAGGCATCAAGAATAGGAAAGCCATGGTATTCGGATCTACCGAGTATGAAAAGGTTTTTAGCACGCACAATAATTCAAAAGCGTGCTCAAGACATCATCACATGGAGCGGAGTTCAGTGAGGGTCCCTCCTTGGCGCTGGAGTGCAAGTCTCTCTATCGCCTCACGCCATTGCGTATTATGTGCCATGGTCAGGATCAATTCATGACATTATCATACTATTGTAATCTAAATACACGAGAAAAGAAGTTCTTTAGAAAGAAATCATTCTGTAGAGATCTTGGGAGAGGACAAAATAAAAGGTGCCAACAGAGTGACAACGATGAGAAAATTCAAGGAAAATGGGGAGCGTAGTCCTCTTACTGACAGCCAGGGCATGTCCAACACGCAGGATCATCCCAGATAGAATTCATGGAAGGGTCCTTGTCAGTCTCAAGTGGTATGGGCATACCGGCCAAAGCGAGCTTATAAACCGAAAACTTGCATCGATCATCCTTATATCCAGAACCCTTGCACCCTGGATAAGCTCGGCAGATAGCAGCACAACGACGAGGCGTAGCCTGGGCATACTCTGTATAAACTGTGATCAAGTTGGGGTCATTTCCATCAACCCAGCCACCTCCCATATAAGCTTCGTAATTGCAGAGCGTACCGGCAGGAGGGTCGGCGACTGGCTTGCACTCATCGCCTAGAGTGTACGCACACATATCGGGAGGACCTTTGGGAACAGAATCAGGAACGCACTCTTCGCAGTCCGTGTAACAGCGCGAATCCAGCCAAACCTGCTTCTTCCAGTCGTTCTCTTCGGTGACGAAGTTCTCCTTGAGTAAGGGAAGTTCAGAGAAGTAGCATCGGTTTTCGAACTGTGAGTATCCAGCGGTCAAGCAGAGTGGGTGGCCTTGACAGATGGCTATGCACTGCTCGACGCGGTCTTGGTGGGGATACGACTCGCGAGTCTCTAACCAGAAACTTCTGCTGGTGAGCTTGTCGCCCCAGGAACAGAGAACGTCTTTGGGGTAGTTGAAGCGGTCGAAGTTGCACATCTCGCCGTGCGTATACTTGCATGTCTCTGTTGGGGTTGAGGAGGCGGTAGTGGTTTCTGAAGTTGAACTGGGATCTTGGGTAGTAGATGTTGCATCTTCGGTGAAGGATGTTGAGTCTTCGCTCAAGGACGTAGACTCTTCGGGCGCGTCGCTTGATGTATCTACATGAGGGCCTTGAGCAGACGTGTGAGTTGTTTCAGGCCAAGTGGTGGTGCCTTCGATGAAGGTTGGCTCCACGTCAACGCTGGTCTCTGGTCGAGGCGGCCGCATGCTTGTTGACTTGATGCCTGGCGTAGGCTCTAAGCTTCCAGAGCTTGTCTGTGGGTCGGGAAGCCAATGGGTAGTGTTCTGGGGAACTCTGGTGGATGGCTCCGCGATGAAAGTTGTTTCCGAGAGCACCGGAGCTTCAGTAAGGCCAGCGGTTGACGATGGCGATTCACCACAGAGCTGACAGTCGAAGCAAGCTAACTCAGACCATTCTAGGACACGGTCTGGATCTCCAGTGGTCCAACCACGAACTCTCAATGGCTCAAGGACGAAATTGCAAGGGTATCTCGGGTTGTTGTTTACAGCAAATGCGAAACATCCATCGATGTAACCACAGGTCAACGCGCACTTCTGAATGTCCATGCCTTGCATGGGGTATTCTGAGAGCGGATATGCCACAATATCAGCATTGGGCTGGGAACGGTACTCGCAGAATGGCCCTGAAGGTTTCGGCCACTTCTGTCCACAAAAGCCGGGAGGGTTGTAGCCATCGGGGCAAACCTCTTGAGATGGAACCTCGGGCCTGGTATAGCCTGTCGTGGTAGCAGGAGGGAAATTTGTAGCAGTAGTAGCTGGCTCAACAGTTGTTACTTGATTGGCCGGTTCACTAGTTGGAGTGGATGGGAGACTGCTGGTAGTCTCCTCAGGGGTGTTGTCATCCCCGAAGTCCAACTGGAACTGATCAATGTTATCAGGAGTTACTTGATTGGAGACGAAGACCGAATCCACGTAGATCAGTGCCAGTCCATTGCCGGTGCAAGACATGGAGATGCCAAAGCTGGCGCTTCGAGAGTCGGCCATGACAGTAGTGAGGACTCTGTTCCAAGAGACACCCACGCCACCACTAGTGAAAAGACCCATGGTGTAGAACTGGGTATTGACGAGGTAGGCATTGACGCTGCACGCCTGATTGCCTCCAGCGGTGATGACGACGTAATAGAACTGGACAGTATAGAGAACATTTCTGCTTGGAGCAAGGTTGGTAAGAAATTGTGAGATACTCGCTAGTCCTCCGAAAGCTCGCTTCTTTGAGTCGGAAGAAGAGCCTAAGGCAACGCAGCCATTATCTGAGCTACCATCTGCCTTGAAACAGTTGCCGCTCTGTTGTTTGGCCTCACCTTCGGCATCGAAGCCAAAAATGCCACTTTCTGAGTTCGGGTCTTTGATGGAAAATCGCCCGTTGGAAACGGCATTCGTGATCACGACGTTTCCCTGAGATTGTGTTGCAGTCGGTTCATCAGTCAACACTCCACTGGGTGCCTCTGTCTCCTGGCTGGCAGGAATGTTGGATGATGATGATCCAATAGGCACTCCAGAGCCTTCGGTAGACAACGTGGAGACGATTGAAGACTCGATAACAGAGGTGTCACCAGATGCCTCGCCAGTGGAAAGCGTTTTAGTGGAATGTGCTTCGGTGAAACGTGTTTCAGTGGAATGTGTTGAAATGGTCTCATCAGTCTTGATGGAGGTTGCTGTTGGACCGAGGCCATCGAGTCTACCGTCAATGCATTGTTCGGCTATCGGCCACTGTTAGTAAGGGACGGAACAGATACATCAACACTTACCTCTATACACGTTCAGAGATACTGGTAAGCAGCCAGATGGCTTGGATCCGAAAGTCATGTAAACCTGCCCACCAGAAGGCGTCTGGCAGAATGAAGCTCCGCCATTGGGTAGGGAGGGATTTCGGAAGCGCAGTAACCCTCCATCAGAGCCGAAAGCTGTCGAGATTGCATTATCGCTAGATGAGGACGAGGCCTGGAGTTTCTGGTATCCATCACCGAGGTATGACACCGGAACACCACCGTCGGAAAGCCGACCATTGCCAAGGGTGAAGACAGTAGCGAACGTGCAGATGTTGGGGTTGCCTTCACCAACAAAACCACCAATGTCGCGCTTTGTGTTACCGCCAGAAGGGCTGACAAGAAGGATGATGCGCTGTCCGGTGGTGGGCTCGAGAGTAGTCGAAGCGGATGCGCTAGAAGCAGCCGAGGACGCGAGATCTGGACCTTGAGCAGTAGATGTTGATATCAATTCGATATCTGTGGAGTTTTCAACAGGGCGCGGGAGTCCCGTTGCAATTGACACTGGAACGAGGTACGTTGAAAGGTAGGTGATGCACCACGTCCCAGGGTCTTGGTCCGCATACTGGACGTCTCTCGCATCAACGGCAGCAACACCACTGACAATGCCGCTGAGCAGCGCAAACGCTCCAATATTGCCCTTCATTCTACGTGAAAACAGCAGCGGTCGAAAGAATGGCGAAAAGAAAAAGAATTTGCTACGACACCGACTACGTATAAGAATTAGGGCAAACGAACCGAGCGCAACCAAGCCTCTGGGAGCAAGAAAACACCGGACCTTAATATAGGGTGTCAAAATAAACTCAGTAAAGGATATCCTTGACTTGGTAAAATTAAGCTAAATTTATGTAAGTTTACCTAAGCCTTTTTGTCATTTAGGATCAAGGTCCTGAGTTTTTTTTTTCTCCCCTGGCTAAGCAATGCGAAATGTTGGTGGCTGCAAAATGGTCTGCTTGTTGAAATGACAGCATGCAAAGGGGTCGTTAGCGACAGACGCCATCATTTGAAATCAGGGTCTCGATTGCGATCTCTGGGTCCAGAGTCATTCTAAGGCTGAGACTATTGACCCAAATTAGTGGAAAAGCTGTTCAAAAGAATATTAGCCGCTGTCTAATCATCCCCCTTGCTTGGGCGACAGACTACTCAGCCAGCCACTTTCAAGGCCAGGAATTGTCTAAACACAACAAGATGGAAAGGTCTTATAGTCCATAGAAGAAGAAAGGCTTGATCGCAATCTCACCAACCATTTTTAGGGGATCCTTTGACTTGATCTAATCTTTTGGCATTGCCACACGTGGAAGAGGGTCTCACTGTTCAAGGGAGAAAAAAAAGACCCACTGGGCTTATGCTTATTGACCATGCATATCTTAAAATGACATTTCGGTTAGACTTTGACTTTTGAGAAGCATCGGAGTTTCGGCCTTTCCAACCATTTACCTATCCCATCGATGGCATCTGGCCTCCTAGAGGAGACCTTCTAGAAAACATTGCCCTTGGTCTGTCTCATCTCCGAGACCTTCAGATTCCTGATAAGAGCGACCCAGATAAATGACAACGCCATAATGGCTGTGCCAGCTGCCAACATCCGGGTTTGTGCATATCCATATGCCTTCTGAATAGCGATACGCTCAGGCGTTCCCCTCGCATAACTCAATTGCGTAGGGAGATCTCCGTAGATAGCATCGAGGTTCTCAAGCGCACTTGCGGGTAGATACATCTTCAATGCTTTCTCAAAGGTATTCGTCCAGATGGCGCCAGAAATTGTGTCACCGATACTGCCGCCCGCTGTGCCAGTGACGTTCAACATAGCCAACGCCGCAGCAACGTGCTGATGATCGACAGCAGCAAGAACGGCGAGCTGCATGCAAATGGTGAAGACACTTCCGCCGACAGAAATGAAAATCTGGCACATGACCAAGTATCCCACATAGCCAGTTGGGTTTCGGAAGTAGATCATCAAGCCTTGGGCGAGGATATAAAGTGGTACGCCAGCCCAGAGGAGCCACTTGAAGTATCCAGTCTTGCGGATACCCCAACCTACGAGGAACAACAAGAAACCAGACACAACGTTGAAGGTATTGTTAACGTAACCGGCCTCTGCGACCGTCAGATAGTTGACAACTTGAAGGAAAGACGTGAAGTAGTTGTTCCAGCAGTAATACGAGATCTGATACGTGAGATCGAGGAGACAAGCACCAACAAGGGTTCGATCAGTCAAGAAGTGGAACTTGAGGAAGGGAACTGGCGCAAAGTAGACTTCGTTGAGGGCGAATCCAACGAGGAGGATGAAGCCGACAATGATCATGGCGATGATGTATCCAGTTGACCAGCCATGAGGTGCCATGGAAGCGATGGTAAACGGGAGGAGGAAGATGACCAAGCCAGTGGCGAAGAGGAATACGCCAAGAACTACAGAGTAACGATGGTTAGCTTTGAGGAAACATGCAACCTCATTTTGAACTTGCCGTCAAATTCAAGCGTATAGTGCCAGATGCTCTCTTTCAATGTGCGGCCACTAGACTTCTTTGGCAGAATATTCTTCTTGGCCTTTCGCAAGTTGATCTTGAGAAGAAGATACAGGGGTGCACAGACGACAGGCGTGATGAAAGCAAAGGTCCCGAAGCCCCAAGGCCAACCAATGTCAGCCAGCATTCTGTCCGAAGCGTAAGATCCAGCAAAGGCTGAGATCATGTAGGGCGACGATGTGAAGGCATATGCCAAGGCTCGGTTCTTTAGATTGGTAGCATCGGCGGTCATGACATCGATACTGTAAATGAGGCCCGTGAAACCGACTGAGTAAAAGACCTGTGATTACATTAGCTTCCAGGTCCAACATGTGATTTCCGTTACGTACATTCGCGGCGCAGTAGGTGGACAGGTCTTTGGCCGTAGCCATCAGAATCAAGCCCAGCTCACAGAATCCCACCATAAGAAGATAGCCCTCGGCTCGGCCCCAAAGATCAAGCAGTTTGGCGAGGGGAATGAAGACAGCAGCCGTCATTGAGTTCGCGACAACACCAATGGTGTTGAGGAGCGAGTGCGCGGCCCAATCGCTGGTGACATACGGCAATAAATTGCCGACGGTCGAGCTTTGGAAAGCATTGAGAAGGTAGACGAGCCAGATGAAGATGAAGAGGCAGATCAGAGATGTCTTGCTCCATACGAGGGTGATGGCCTCCATGTCTTTGACACCCTCGGTGACATCCTCAGCGGGGAGGGCATCATCAGAAACAGCTAGGTGTCCATCTTCAGGATGGGTATTCTTTTCGTGGTCTGTAGTCGTTGTGACATCTTGGAGATCGACATCAGAGGTCTTGTTCGACCTGTTCCAGAAGCCCATTTTGGCGGTTCAAGCGAGAAAGAGAGAATTAAGCTTGAGAACTTTTAGATTTCTTTGACGAGAAAAAGGGTTACATTAAAAAGAAATGACATGCTGTATCCCCCCGGCATAAATCTTCCGACACCGGTGGATCAAACAACGAAAAGAACGCATCAGATAAGATCATCTTGCCCCGTTGATTCCGACTCTGTTGGTTGCGTCCCTGTAAAACACGGCAGGATCGGCAAGCTGAGTGGGATGCTTGGCAAATAGCGATGAGGCTCGTAAAGCAAAGAGGGTCTTTCTCACGGTAAACACGGCACGGTTAGCTCCACCGCGTACGTCAGTCAGATTATCTCGGGCCAAAGGTAAAGCGGAAAGATGTGAGGCAAAGTTTTAGAAGGGTAAAATTTGCTTAATCAATCTAATCTAATCTGATTTTATTGATTAATAGAGGGCGGTATCGGGCCGGATTGTTTGAGGGCTCGGAAATAGTTACGAAATGAATATCATAGCGTGGAGGGGTTCACAGGGATATCACGGTGCCACAGCGAATACAAAACGTGTCATTTATGCTCATCTAGTACCAACACTCATTAGAAATGAACGACTCCGTAGAGTGGGTTCTCCAGCGACGGAATGTGATAGTCGTCCCGGAAATATAACGGCCCAACGAACGAACTCACGATGTCCCCTGGGCAAGTTGATCAATCGTAAAGTTGAATCCCCCATCCGCATCCGGCTTTATATCATGCAGACAATATCTTGGGGTTTTGACGCTATATTGTCAATCATAGCACTAGGATTGGACATAAATGGGACTTACCTCCAGAACCAACTACTCAAACACATATTCTTGCAGTTCTTGGTCAGTAAGGCGATGTCGCTCTCAAAGGTCTCGCCGGCAAATCGCCTTGCAGCGTCATCAGAAGCTTTGTTCACTCTGTCAATCTCAACTTGAAGCCTGTCGAGTGACGCATCAAGTCCTCGCTGCATATCGCCGTGTGCCAACAATACCACGATGTTCTCGACGAACCCTTCTCGTATCTCTTTACGCACGCTCACCATGTCATTCGTGATCCACATAACAGCGACGGAAGCTTCGTATAGATCATGAACTTCCTTCGATTCCATGACGTACTCAGGCAAGTTGAGTCCATTGGCGAATTCAATGTTGGCCGCCACTTGCTTCATACAGGAAGATGCATCCCGGTAGCCAAGATACTCGTCAAGAGAAGGAAGATGGGCATTTCTTCGATTGAAAGCTTCCTTTTGGTATGCTTTCAGGGTAGCAATGGCCTCCTTCGCGATTCGCTTCCGGTAACTTGGATTGTTACTGTAAAGACGGCGAACAGTCGAGGCGTACTCCTCAAATGACAGTACAGCATCGTGGTCTAAATAACGAGTCGACGGCTCAACCTCCTGGCTTGATACACCCAGGCTTCTCTCAACATAGTCTTCACAGTCACTCAGCAGGGCCTGCAGCTTGCTGTAATCAAATTGTTCGACGATGGAATATTGATCGAGAAGGTCGTCGATGATGAACATCCAGACTTGGAAGGATGTCAAGACCTCTAGCTTTTCGCGGGAGGCGTACGGGTACCAGCCAGCGAGTTGTTCTGACAGGTTAGCTTTGGTCAGGCGCGAGCGCACCGTTTCGTTGACAGCATGTCTGACAGATGTGTCAGTATTCCTATTGGTTTTTCTCGGGAGCTATTTTCTGACGTTTCAATCAACTGAAGTATTTTGACGTCTATGGCCTCAACGTGCGGGTTTGTGTCTTTCGGCCATCCGGCATGCATCCGAGCCAAGTCCGGGACTCTAAGGCTTTGACCTCTCAGAACGGACAATAATTCCTCTCTCGTGCTGGCTTTGCCGGTTTGCATTGATGATGATGAAGCCATTTGATCAGATGCGCGGTTGGGTTCGACTTGAAGTTGGTAGCAGGCTGGGCTAGACCTTGAGGCTGCAGAGGGCAACGCGGCATTATATATTTGCGACCGTTACATTGCATAGACTAACAATCAAAGATATTGAGACTATTGTACAACTTAGATTAGAAATCTTTACTACTGACTGCCGTGCCTGTCAAGTCAATTGGTGCGATCATGGAAAGCTGGAGGTACTGTACTACACTGATTAGCAATTATTTAGCGCGACGTTTGACAATTACAAGAGCAATTAGAAATCCTTACGTACATGAGCGGTCAGGAACGCCTAGCTCAATTGGCTTGGCATGCTGCCCAACCGGTCATGGGAGGATCCTCGTTAGGGAGCTTAGTTTTTAGCTCCTGGGGTTTAGGGTAGTCGATAATAAAAGTTGGCAA